ACAGGAATGGGTGTCGCCTTTGTTTCAATAGTTTTCCATTGAGCATCATATGTTGGGTCACAACAGTATATCAATGTTCTTATTTGTGCTGCTAAATAATAATCCCTTAGGGAAGGCAATCCCCAACCTCCCTTTTTCTTTTCCAGTTGTAATACCTTATATCCAATTCTAGGTCTTTTACCTTGCCAAATATATCTTGATAATAGTTTGTCCCATTCATGAAAAACTTTTTGATTTATTTCAATTGGCAGAGTTTGGAATAAATATAGCAATCTGGGCAGTATGTTCATAGGTATAAATAGGTTTATGGAAAATATTTGTTAAGTCAGGGTGAAAGCAAATTTTGAGAGGGAATTCATTTATATAGATTTACTGGTGTCTGAAACAAAAATAAAAGGCTTTGCGGGTGCAGATTTGGAGCAGCTGGACTTAAAACCAACCTGTTGGTGCATGGCCGGCAGGTACCAGACGTTGCAGACCAGGGCCCAGCTGGTCATCATCCTCAGCAGGTAACTCACCATGCTGTACTTGGAGCTGTTCCAGAAAGCATCTCCAAACTTTGGATCGTACTAATAAAGAGAAAAAAAAAGTGAAACTCAGAAAACAAAACTAAAAAGAAAAGACCATTGCAGAGGCAGACTTAAAATACCTTGATGGCTACAGGATATATTGTTCCTCCGATTTCAAAACTTCCTTTTTTAAACATCATCACCGACGTGTTGTTGATGCAGGTTCCTGCAGGAACAGATGTCACAAACTGAGTGAGCGTCTTTCAATTGAACATAAAATATTTGGCATAAATTAGGGCTTGGATTACTCTCATATCAAAACATCAAATGACCCCACCGACCTTCAGGAAATATTAAGATGGGAAGCTTTGTTTTGTCGCTCACATGATCTTTCAGCCTGGAAACAAAACAAAAAGGTGATAGAAACCTTTTTAACTTTATTTTATTTAATTTGAAATGACACATGAACCATATGGAATAACACAATGCTATAAAATATATAGATATTTTAATCTACATAAGTCAGAAAAATGCCAGAATCTCAGAATCCAAACACTTGCTGAAAGACAAAGTAAGACAGAAGAAAAACGAACCTTTTGGTCACCAGGTGGCGATCTTTCATCTCCGACCTCTCAAACCAGACATGAGGACAGGCCCTCACCATGGCTCTCTGAAGCACCCCCATCAGACCTCCGTGAACCTGACCCACCTGGTCAACAGAAGTTGAGGAAACAAATGTTAAAACAWGWAGGATTACTGAAACACGCTGTGTTGCTGCTCTGCCTACCATGGCGTAGCCCCCATCATTGCACAGGATCACCACGTCGATTGGACTGGTGTGGTTGGCGACGCCAATTCCTCCTTTTTTAGGTTTATTTTCTCTGCRACGTGAAGTAGAAATCAGACTGATTAGATGCAGCCAACATACTTCTGATGTTTTCAGAGAGACGTTTTTCACCTGTTGTGATACTGAATAGCAGCAGAAAGTCCTCGAGCGCAGATCCTGTAGCATATGATGTGGACCCACTCGCTGAGCCAGAACTTTATCCTAAAATTAAACATTTGGACGGATTTAGGAGGAAGCCATTTAACAGGCGATGTGTGATTTTGAGTTTTGAGCACCTCCAGTTGGGGAGAACTCCAACGGCAGACGTTCCAATGACCAACCAGCTCAGGCCGATGCAGGCCAGAGTTATCCTGAAGAGAGAGAGAAACAAGCAGAACAAAAGAAAAAGGAACACTTTTTTTATCAATTATAAGCCAGAAAACTTAGCAAAGAAACTCAAAGGTAGCAAGACTCTTCAGCTAAATTAAAGTCATCACAGTAGAGATTGGCAGTTCACTCGTGGTAGGTTATAAAACCTTCCAACACAAATAGGGAAAGAGAGACAAAAACAAGGGGACGTTGAACCCCGCTTGCACTCAGTACATACACATAACACGACACCAAATAACCACAGCCGAAGCATCCAAACCATTAAGTCAGGTGATGGGGCACATGACCCTCAATGAACAATAGAGCTAATCAAGCCTATTGTTAGGCGATGGCCCTCTTTTGCATATGACTAACCTGTTTGTCCACCATGTGGAGGCAGTGCTTATAAGGCTGAGTTCACCTGAAACTCATCAGACTGAAGAAGTCTCTTGGAGGAGAGACGAAACGTTTCACTAAAGAAGAACCCATCCAGAGGACCTACTTATTTTTTCTTTTTAATTTTTTTTACATCTGGATTACTGAGATGCATCAGGACACTTTCAACACAAGGTTTTTAGGTATAAAACAAATACGTCCTGTGTTTAKTTTATTAGCTTGCTTTATATTTATTCAGAGCCTGAACTTAAATTTGCAGGAAGTTATTTGTTTACCTAAGTGGGGCAAGGATGCAGTATCTAACAAAGATACCCAGACCATAGACCAGCGTCAGCTTCAGACTGATGTACTGGAAATCGTTGTTGGTCCGAGTCAGTAAGTTCCAGGACACGAGCTCCTCAGAGGTGAACCGTTGGGTCACCTACGTTCAGAACAGACATAAACGAGAAAAGCTAATAATCCGATTTGCGTGGAAGTTTGTGAAAAAGAATGGATTTGTCTGGTAACATACCTCGTCCTCCACGATGCTCTCGATTCCTCTCCGAGTGAAGTAGAAACAGTCGCTGAGCGTGAAGTCGCCGCCGACGGGTGGTTTGGGTCTGCTGCGTCTGAGTTCCCCCAGCTCCTTCTCCATGGAGCCGTTTTCCCTCAGGATGAGACCTGGCAAATAAAAACACACAAACTATAACCAGAGTTCCCACACCTTGGTTAACATCAAATTCAAGGACCTTCCAAGGACTTTCCCGTACCAATTTCCTCAAATTCATGAACCACACATGCTACCACAGAATGTTACCAATGAACAGCTTTAATTTGTAAATTCAATGAAAATCTGAACAACATAGAAGTTGTTGAGTCAGAATCAATGAAAGAAAGTGGATTAAATGTACACCCTACATTCATATCCACAACACACGGACATGTAATTATGTTCTGGGAGGTTCGGCAGCTCAGGTTGGGAGGAGGGGATGTGAACATGTCCAGATGCTCTGTGAGGACAGGAGGAGTTGTGGTGCTCTCACCTGGGCTCAGAAAGAAAGACCCGCCCTGCTCTGCTCTGATTGGCTAAAACTATGATTTCATGTCATGCTCATGTTATTTGTAGAAAACCACATCAGTTTAACATTAGACTWTATTTTATAAACATATTTTAACAGTAAAATAAAGGCTGTAAAAAAACTGTAGGCTGTTTTAGTTTTTATCATTTTTAAACTAAAAGTTTAAATATATATTACACGGATGGGGCCATTTTATTTACACACAAAGCATTCTGGGTAAATGATGACGTGGATAGGTCCTCGGTGTGAGCGAGCTATATCCACCCTGAAGGTTAATCTTGGACAATATCTGATGATCGACTCTTTTAAATGAAACCAGAGAGCGTTGACAGAGAGGAGAAGGTAGAAATGACTCAGCCTGTAACTGAAAATATGGATGGAGGACATCGGTTTAGGCGGCACGGTGGCTCAGTTGGTAGAG